AGGTGAGCGAACACATACCGTTGCTCGCTCACTTCTCGATCATCTCCCTGCAGGGAGCCGTGACTGTCAATCACGGCTCCCTGCAGGTATTCCCCCACTCCGATCCTCCAGCGCTGACTGGCAGAACGGACGGGGGAGGGGGCGGGTACAGCTGCCTCTAGATAAGCAGAGACAGCTGTCACTCACGCACCTGGGTGGATCCCGGCATAATTGTCGGGATCCGCTTCAGCTGCGGCGTCTCAGTATATAGGGAGCTGTAACTCGCAGTATACTGAGCTTTGGGTGACTGGAGGACGTTAGTTTGTGTCCTCCCGTGACCCTGGGGAGAACTATGGGGAAAAGCCCTGACCCCATAGTTCTCCTTTAATATCACTTTAGGCAGCGCTGGCTCATTCCTTTCCTGAGTATCTAGAGGCCGGTCTGTGACATCTCTGCTGCAACGTTGTATCAATGTTAATTAATTGTCTTATAAATGTAATGTTTGATGTGATTCATTCCTCCGTTCAATATTTATTCTGTGGAAGCAGCGCTCCCGGTTGTGACCTCAGAAGAGATTCAGCGTTACACCCAGACTTCTATTACTGGACGAAGGATTGTTCTCTTCATTATAGAATGTTACATTTGTATATCGTGTGTGAAAACCGCAAGTCCAGATGATCAGCAGATCCAGAGATTTTGAAAAACTGTTATGAATGCAAATAATGACTTTTACTTGCAACTTCGGCTGCTCTGGATCTATTGATCCATATACAGTTTTTGCTGATAGTAACTCCAGCTCAGGAGCATTTGATCTTAGTCTGATCATGTATTTATCAAGTTTAATTTAAAGGAGAACTATGGGGTCAGGGCTTTTCCCCATAGTTCTCCTCAGGGTAACGTGAGGACACAAACTAGCGTCCTCCCGTCACCCAAAGCTCAGTGTAGCTCGCGGTATACTGAGACGCCACAGCCGGGACGGATCCCGGCATTGCTGTCTGGATCCACCCAGCTGCGTGATTGACAGCTGGCTCTGCCTATCTAGAGGCAGAGCCAGCTGTACCCGCCCCCTCCCCCGTCCGTTTCGCCAGTCAGCGCTGGAGGATCGGAGAGGGGGAATCCCTGCAGGGAGCTGTGACTGACAGTCACGGCTCTCTGCAGGGACAGGATCGAGAAGTGAGTAATCGACGGTATGTGTTCTCTCACTTCTCGATCTATTGAGCCGACCTTTGACCGTTTCATTGTGACACGTCGGCTAGAACTATGAGGCTGAGTGATTTTCCATCGCCTTACAGTTCTCCTGTAACCTAAACTTTATACCAGCACGCCAATAGGTAGTACATTATCCATAATACTGCCATGGTGATACAAACCTTGAAAATGATATTGAAAAGTGATTACTGTTCTTGCATGAAATGATGGCTGAGAATGAGAACAATCCGCGTCGTAGGATCCTTGTCCTGGGGCTCCTGATCTCACTCACTCAACATGAGTGAATCCCGCTTGCAGGTCAGAAATCTCCCTGTATGATAATAAGCACATAAAAAGCTCTCTTTGCCCTCTTTTAATGTTCAGAGTCTCACACAACACAGTTATAGCTCAGCGATTGTTGATCTGGCGGGCTGAGTGATTGTAGTGACCTCCAGATGACCACTAGAGGGAGACTCTACAAATGAGAGAATAGCAACTGTGTGACATTGTGAGGGTCACTTTAAAATGAATTATTATTATTATTTATTATTATTATCATTATTTTTTATTATTATCATTATAATTTTTGTATCACAGATTCACCCTCTGTGATGTGGCTACTAGACATTTAGCGATAGCCAGAGCTGTAGTCAGCCTGGCTGAATTATAGTAGTAGTTATCTGGTTAATTTCAGGTGTCTGGCATTGCCTGTACCCTCCTGGGCGTAGTGTAACTCTGTCCTATTGTGGGACAGCCAATAAGAGGCACTGTAGTGTATGTACAGTACAGCAGCCAATCACTGGGTTTCTCTCAGCCAGTGGTGCATGCTGGGATCGGGTACATATACTGGAGGGATTTGCCATGTGCTCAGACTAGCCGGGACCAGCCATGGAATAGGGCTGGGTGCTGTTCAGCCTGCCCCCCAACATGGAGGAGGTCTGTGTTGCTGTTAGAGGAAGAGAACCGGGACCAATGCTGGCTCTCAAAGTATCCTGGAACTAAGAGGACTTCAGGAGCATGGCCAGTGTCTCTCCTGCGGAGGATCTATATCCACCCTGCCTATCTGCTACATCAGTTGCCATCCGCTGCCTCCCAAGTGGATCTACACTGATATGCCAACCAGGTCTGGTGAGTCTGGAGTCTATGTCTGTTACACTTTGGAAGCTTAGAACCCCCATATCCTCTCTCTCCAGTGAAGATGTTCGATAAACCGTTACTCAGCATTATACTACTGGAGTGGACATCAGTTTATGAGCACCAGAAGAAGGGCGGTTAGTGCTAATGGGTGGGCAGCTGAAGATCATCCCCTAGACCGACTAGAGATGAACCGGGCATTCAGCGGCTCCTTCGGGGGTGAGCGCTACAATATTATTATATTATTATCATCATCATACAGGATTCATATATAGCAGCAACAGTTTGCTATTATTGTAATTATATGTTTGTACTATATGTTATTATTGGATGTATATGCATTTTGTAGTTAAACATATCGGCATGACATAAATCATGTTGTCAATGAGGGTTAATGCTTCAGCAACCTTGTTTTATCTACTTGCGGGGCAGACAAAATGTCTTCTTGATAACCTGCTTCTCAATACTTCATAACAGCTGTGCTGTACTTCTCCTTCTGGCAATGCAAGTCTGTGATCTGGCAGACTCATGAAAACCATGCACCCCCCATGTGGCTGATATCTTATTGCAGCAGCTCTTAAAGCGAACCTGTAAAAAGATCTCTAAAAGGGCATTCCTGTAAAAGTGGACAGTAAATACTGACCTGCCCTGCTGCCCGCCAAACGGCTCTCTGACTCTGAGGAAAGGTTCCCAAAGATTGCTGGAAAACCGACACTTTCGGGAGTGTCCATCTTCTGTGTTCACTGCCGCTCTCACTGGTTCCTCCTGCCAAATTCCACCCATTACCAAGTAAGTGATGCGTACGTTAGCCTGACCCCCCCACCCCCGTACCTAAATCTCTCTAATAGCAACACCGAAAGCAGAACCCCAGCCAAAAAAAGATAAAAGTGAATAACTCATAAAGAGTCCCAATACTTAAAGGAGAACTATGGGGTTAGGGCTTTTCACCATAGTTCTCCTTAGGGTAACGGCAGTATACTGCGAGCTGTACTGAGATGCTGCAGTATACCGTGAGCTACAGCGCGTGGTATACTGAGACGCCGCAGCTGAAGCAGATCCCGACAACTATGTCTGGATCCGCACAGCTGCGTGAGTGACAGCTGGCTCTGCCTATCTAGAGGCAGAGCCAGCTGTACCCGCCCCCCTCCCCCGTCCATTCCGCCAGTCAGCGCTGGAGGATCGGAGCAGGGAGGGGGGAATCCAGTCCCTCCCGCCGCGGCAGAGAGCCGTGACAGGATCGAGAAGTGAACGAAAGCCGGTATGTGTTCGCTCACCTCCCGATCTACTGAGCCGACCTGTGACAGTCTCATTGTCACAGGTCGGCTAGAACTATGAGGTGAGTGAAAAGCACTCACCTCATAGTTCTCCTCTAAACCAGTTTGTGCTGCAATATGCACCTTCAATCCAGAGATTTCACCCGCAGTACTTTGTTTCTACCACTAGATGTCCCCAGTCTGATGGCCAATATCATTCAACCCACTTTCTCTGAGCTCAGGTCATCATGGACCCGTCCCCAACCTGTGATTGGACAGTAAAAGGAGAAGCAGCACAGTGATTATTATTATAATATTATTATACAGGATTTATAGAGCACCAACAGTTTGCTCAGCGCTTTACATATAAAGGGAGACAGTACAGTTATGTAACAATGCAAGAGAAGAGAGTTAGGAGGACCCTGCACTGATGAGCTCATCTTGTCACTCTGCTCTCTCCTCCTATCATTATGTTTTTGTTGGCACATGACCTGATTGCCTCCATGAGCTGCTTCTTCCTCTCACACTCTGACAACGGCTGTACAAAGCGGTAGCATCTCATAGAGGGGGCAGCATGGCCCATCTCCCGGCCGGATGACACCTCCAGAAATGGCTCCCCCCTTCTCTGGGCCACCTCAGGCTACGAATAAGATAGGGATGGCCCTGTGTAGAGCCCATTCACACTTACTGTGTGTGAGGATGCGCGCCAAAGTGTGCACATTGGTGCGCGTTCACTCAACACGGTGAAAAAACGTGTGACGCGCTTGCAGTGACTTGTTATCGGCAACCCAAACATGGCAGACTAATGAACAAATCCAAATGGTGTCCCGCCGCACTCCTTACTGGAAAACCCCTTGCGTTCGGTGCTGAAATGACTGCGGATGGCGCCACTGGAAAACGCAAAAAAAAAATGCACGCTCATGTGCACCACAAGTGCGGATGTTGCCTAAAGCAATCTGTTGCCGTGCGCTAATTCCCGCACATTATGTTATTATTTTATGGCGTGCATCAAGGCGGTCCTTTATGAGTGAGCTGCCAACGCACCACAACGGATGAACAACCCTTCATGGACCTTTTTAACAACGTGCAGTATATGCGCTATGGCGCGTTGCAGTGCCCAGGGCTCTACTGTACGCTGCGCTGACAATGAACTGCACCACAACGCGCACATAGCGCTGGTCATTGAATGATGTATTCATGATTGCAGAGCTGCTTTCATTTGTGTCCTTCCTATCTGCCTAGAATGCAGTATTAACTCTTAAAGTGAACCTGTAACACCCCTAACGCTAATGTCCCCCTGTTATTTTGCCCATTCACCTTTTCCTACGCCGGGAGATAAAAATACGTTGTTCCCTTTAAGTGCGAAAAAACAAAGTGAACGTTCGACTGTCATTTTTTTCCCCCCTGTGCCTTTAAGGCTGTGCAGCACAGTAGCAGGAGAGAGAGTCCAGCCTCCTCTCTGAGCTCTGGAATGGCAAGCAGTTCCTGATGTGTTCAGAGCAGAAAGACACACACACACCCTGTACTCCGCCGCTGTGTGTGTCTGCCACCAGCCTCAGCAACACTCCGCTCCAGCCTGAGATATAATGGGGGCACTGGGAGCCTGAGACCGCACCGCACACCCTGCACCACTGGTAAGGCACCGCTGAATGCCCTTGTCTTCGCTCTTTCCTCCTTCTCTGCCTCCTTGCTGCATTCCCTGACAACAGCTGCGCAAACAGCGTAGACCCGACCGCTGCCGCTTCAGAAAACGCAGGCTAGATGGCTGCGTCCAGTCAGTCCGCGTTAACCCTTTAGCTGCAGCATGACGTCAATCCACCCGGCGTTGGGCGTGACGTCGACGCAAGCGTCAGTCGCATGCTACCATCAAGAACCACAAATCCCAGCATGGGTGTGCTCGGGCTTGTAGTTATACTATACTATACGGAGCCAGGATGACTACAAGTATGTGACGACGGCTAGCTGCGCTCATGCGTCCGTCTCATTCAAATTGGGGCGCATGCTACAAAGCTGAGTGAATATGGGGGGGCTGAGATAGCGTCAGAGAAACAAAGGTCACCGGCACTCCAGAATTGTGATCAATACTCCTTTATTGATGTATGCTTAATTTAGTTACGTTTCGGGGCCACGCAGGGTCCCCTTCATCAGGGAGGACAGTGATAACGTAAGTACATCAACCCTATATTGCTGGCACGCTAAAAAGCTTTCCGCAGCGGGCCCTGTGTACGAAGGACGCAGCAAACATCGTTATCGGTACCCGAGCTGACATATACGTGGAGACATGGAGGCTCATGCTTATAAGCTGTCCATGGCATGGGCATCACTAAGAAGTACCGCCATGCCGTTAGGTGTGCAAGGTGGATCATCCAAAATAAGACGACCGTGTGTATCGACCGCTGACGTGATCTGGGATGTAATGTGTTGCAACAGCGCCTGTTAAAGTCAGCAGGCGGATGAAGTAGCTGTGTTTATAGAGAGTCTGGTGTTTATAACGTTACGCTGGTCATGTTGTATTTGGAACTCTAGGAATCGCGGGAAAGGATACTTTGTTACCTGTTCTGAACACTGGTACCCCTCAGTGTCCTGTCTCATTGTCCATCATTGGTTGTCACCTGCAGGACTGAGTGATGAGACCATGGCACTTGTCATGAGATAATCACATGAGTGCCAAAGAGAGATCGAGAGAGAGAACCACAAATCCCAGCATGGATATGCTTGGGCTTGTAGCTCCCCGGCTATACAGAGCCAAGATGTCTACAAGCGTGTGGCAATGGCTAGCTGCGCTCATGCGTCCATCTCATTACAATTGGGGCGCATGCAACAAAGCTGAGCGAATATGGGGGGCTGAGATAGCGTCAGAGAAACAGAGGTCATCGGCACTCCAGAATTGTGATCAATACTCCTTTATTGACGTATGCTCAAATCAGTTACGTCTCGGGGCCACGCAGGGTCCCCTTCATCAGACAAAACAATGATAACATAAGTATAACA